CTTCCCTTTGACCCTAAACCTAATCCTCTTGTATTTAAAGGCTCTAAGCCACGAAAAAACCACCAAGCTTTAGATTATTTTTGTTTTAGTTTCTTTAATTTTATTGTCTTTACTTTTTAGAACCCTAATCCATCTTTGTGTTCTTGAAGCTCTTGCTTCTTGAATCTTAGATCCTGGATAATTTCTTTGTATTTGCACTTGCTTATTTCAATAAAAGTTGTTTAATTTCATCTCCTCTTTCTTATGATGTCTCTTTTATTGCATTTGCTTGTGTTTACATTCATGTGTAGTGAGTAGTTACCCATTAGGGTTTGAGATGGGATAGATTAGAGGTTTCATATGCTTAATCCTTCTAGCTTATGGTCTTAATCTAGATTCTCTCTCTTTTGGATAGATCTTAAGGCTACATGACCACTACCCCTGGCTTGTAAGTCCTTAGGCGACTCCCCACACGAAAGTGATGGCATTCGCTGGAAAAGATCCACTAAGAGCTCCAATATCTCTTGCTCTAGACAATAGAGGTCTAAGGGGTTGGATGGATTAGTTTGGGCAATGATCCTATAGCCTCCAAGGTTTGATTCTCACTGGCTAACCCCCTGTTTCTGAGATCATTCCTTGGTTGATAGCCTCCACCTTGGGAAAGGGTTGGCTAGGCATTGAGAAGCCCAATATCAAGAGAAGCCTTGATACAAGGAGTTTTAAGAGCTAGATTGATTAAGTGTAGATTCCTTTGATTGCAAAACCCTGTCTTGAACCCTAATTCTCTCTTTATCTTGTTAAAGTCGTCACCTTTAGCTTTGTTTGTCTCAACTCGTCCCTAAACTCGATCGAGCTGGTACTTTGCTCTAGCTCGACTCGAGCTCTTGGTCGAGCTGACACTTCACTGCTTTCTTTACTTTTATTGCACTGCTTTTCATTATTTTTAGGTTGTTAGTGTTACTTCAAATCTTACTGCTTGCTTGACTTCCTGGTTGTTTCATATTCTCATAGAGTGACAAGTTCCCATTTTGGATTGATAACCCTTTATACTACAACACTATCATGGTTAAAGGGAATTGTTGACTGTGTTTGTGTTTGCATCTTACCACCTCATCATTACCACTGTTTGCATTCCACCTCATATCTTATCATTTCATTCATTTCACATCCACACACAAATCTTTATCATCACCCATACATCAAAGATCTCAACTTCCAGAATTGGGTTTAGTGGCATTTCATCTCTCTTGGTGATCTCCTTTCCTTTGGCATGGATCACACTTGGCAATGTAGTCTGCTGCATCCTTAAACAAAGTAGGCCACCATAAACCAGATTGCAGAACCTTTGTTGCTGTTTTGAATGTAGCAAAGTGACCTCCATAAGCTGACCCATGGCAATGCTCTAGAACTCCTTGTACATCCTCTTCAGCTATGCATCTCCTGTAAATGCTGTCTGGTCCTCTCTTGTACAAGTAAGGGCTCATCCCAATAGTAATGCCTAGCATCCTTGAAGAATTTCTTCCTCTTGTAAGCATCAAAACTACTAGGGACTTCTCCGGACACCATGAAGTTCACTATATCAGCATACCATGGCAAATTCTCATCACGCAGAGCCTTAACTTCTTCCAGCCTGGCTTTCTCATCAAAACTCTCCTTCAAGATCATGATTGCCATAAGCTGTTCTTCAGGCATAGAATCATTGATGGGGATCATGTCTTCAACTCGCATCCTAGAGAGATGATCAGCAACTCCATTTTCTACTCCCTTTTTGTCCACAACTTCTATATCAAACTCTTGAAGCAAAAGGATCCATCTGAGAAGTCTTGGCTTTGTATCTTTCTTAGCGAAGATGTGTCCTAAGGGCAGCATGGTCAGTGTGCACAATCACCTTGGATCCAACTATATAGCTTCGAAATTCTCAAAGGCAAAGACTATGGCAAGGAGCTCCTTCTCTGTGGTTGCATACTTGCACTGAGCATCATCCATAGTCTTGCTTGCATAGTAGATGACATTGAGTTTCTTGTCTATCTTTTGGCCAAGCACTGCTCCTACTGCATAGTCAGATGCATCACACATAATCTCAAATGGGTGATCCCAGTTTGGAGCTTGTACTATTGGCGCAGATACCAGAGCATCCTTCAGCAAGGTCCAAGACTTGTGGCATTCTTCATCAAACTCAAAATCTGTCTCCTTGCACAGAAGCCTTGTCAAGGGTCTTGCTATCTTTGAGAAATCCTTGATGAATCTTCTGTAGAACCCTGCGTGACCCAGAAAACTCCTTATGTCCTTCACAGTCTTGGGAACAGGGAGCTGCAACATGACATCCACCTTAGCTCGATCGAGCTCGATCCCTTTCTCGGAAATCTTGTGTCCAAGCACAATCCCTTCTCGAACCATGAAGTGGCACTTCTCCCAGTTGAGTACTAGATTGGTCTCCTCACACCTCTGCAACACCCTGCACAAGTTAGACAAACATGAGGAGAAGGATGCTCCATAGACTGAGAAATCGTCCATGAAGACTTCTACCATCTCCTCTATCAGATCTGAAAAAATGGAGGTCATGCACTCTGGAAAGTAGCTGGGCATTGCACAGCCCAAATGGCATCCTTCGATAAGCAAAGGTGCCATAAGGGCATGTGAAAGTGGTCTTCTCCTGATCATTAGGGTGGATCGGGATTTGGAAGAAACCACTGTAGCCATCAAGAAAACAATAAAAGGGTGGTTTGCCAATCTTTCTAACATCTGATCAATGAAAGGGAGAGGGAAATGATCCTTTCTAGATGCTGAATTTAGCTTCCTATAGTCAATACACATGCGATGCCCCACTATTGTTCTAGTGGGAATCAGCTCCTCTTTGTCGTTTTTAATGACAGTGATCCCCCCTTTCTTTGGGACGCAATGAACTGGAGATATCCAAGTGCTATCACTGATGGGATAGATTATCCCAGCATCAAGCAACTTGAGTATCTCTTTCTTCACTACTTCCTTTAGATTGGGGTTCAATCTTCTCTGAGGTTCAATGCTTGACTTACTTTCATCCTCTAGATGAATCCTATGGATGCATAGGTCAGGGGAGATCCCCTTGATATCATCTAGAGTGTAACCTATTGCCTTTCTGTACTTTCTCAATTCAACAAGCAAAGCACTCAACTGTTCAGGTTCCAAATCAGAGTTCACAATGACAGGGTAAGTTGAGTTTTCACCCAGAAATGCATACCTGAGGCCCTCAGGCAAAGGTTTGAGGTCGACTTTAGTTGCTTGAGTCGAGCTCGATCGAGTTTGTTCGAAACCGACTCGATCGAGTTCTTGATCGAGCTCACTGCCATGACTTCGCAAACTGGCCTGTCCAACTCCCTCAATGCTCAGAATGTTTGGAACTGGTCTGAAGGTGTCAAGGAGCTTCTTGTACTCATCAGTTTCTGAGCTCACATATCCCTCTGAAGAATCCTTGGTCAAAGCAACTTGTAGTGGATCCTCTGTTGATAACTCTTCTAGAAGCTCATCTGCCAACTGATCCATTTCCTCAACATAAAAGAGCTGACCTTCTATAGTTGGTTTCCTCATTGTATCTTGATATCAAACTTCATCTTCAGGTCCTTTCCCAAGTTTAACTCAATTGTTCCTTCACAGACATCTATCATTGCTCTTGCTGTAGCTAGGAATGGCCTTCCTAGAATCAATGGATCTGTTGGTTCCTCATCCATCTCAAGCACAATGAAGTCTGTGGGGATTTCCACATTCCCTATCCTCAAAGGCAGGTCTTCAAGCATCCCAGTTGGTAACCTTATCGATCTATCTGCCAAGACTAGTGAGATTCCGCAGGCTTGGTACTTGTGATATCCCAGTCTCTTTGCTACAGACAAAGGCATGAGGCTGACAGATGATCCTAGATCGCAGAGGCTGTTTTTGAAAGATAGGGGTCCTAACATGCAGGGTAAAGTGAAACTCCCCGGATCTTCCTTTTTGTCGGAGATGACCTTCCGCTGAATGATTGCACTGCACTCGCGAGTCAACACTACCATCCCTTGTGCTTCCCTGGTTCTTTGCTGAACAGCATCCTTCAGAAATTTCTGATAAGGTGGAATGAGCATCAAGGCGTCGATGAAGGGCAACTTCAACTCAAGCTGTCTCATTAGTTCATCAAACTTGGCCTTGTGTGCTTCCAACAGTTGTTTCTTGAACCTTCCTGGAAAGGGCAGAGGGGGTTGTATGGTGGTGGTCCTGCTGGAGTGTCTTTCTTCTTTGCAACAGGTTTAGCTGGTTGGCTGGAGTTTGCTTTGTCTGTCTCGAGCTCTCGGTCTTCGGTTTCTTCAGCTCGATCGAGTTCTGGTTCAGGGTTTTGTTCCAGCTCGATCGAGTTCGGTCGAGTTATCAGCATACTCGACTAAATCCTCCCCTTCCTCGTCATCGATGTCCACAGCGATTTGGGGTGGGCTACCTCTACTTGGGAATTGCCCACTTCTTAGTGTAACTGCTTGGGCATACTCTTGTGGTGAAGAGGATGATGCACTTGAAGACTCAATGATTTGGACTCTTGAAGTCAATGACTCTAGTTTAGAGTGTATCTCAACTTGTTGTTCATTTCCAGTGAACCTTTGGCTTGCCCTTGTAAAAGTTGTTGGAGCATTTCCTTCATATCCCAATCTTGAGTTGGTTGGGTATGATTGTGAGTCCTTGGTGGAACTTGGGTGTTTGTTGGTTGGGGGGGTTGATAATTGTTGTATCGCCCTTGAGGATTCCTATAGATTCCTTGTCTATTTTGAATGTAGCAAACTTCTTGTGTTGCTCCTCCCCTTCCTGGTCCTTGACTAGGTTTGTTCTGAGACATAGTTGACATGCTTGGCAGGGAATTGGGCTAGGATCAGTTTGTCCAACTTCGAAGTTGAGTGCAAGCATGTCTTTTCTCATCTGAGCTCCAGCTCGATCGAGTGGTGGGTCGAGCTCCATTGGTGCGATCATACTCTTCTCCATAGCTTCCATTTGAGTTAGCTATGTTCTCCACAAGTTGCCAGCCATCATCTACATCCTGGTTGAGGAAGTTCCCATTGCTAGCTGTGTCTAGCATCTCCCTATACCTAGGCAAGCATCCTCTATAAAGAGTGGAGAGTAGATTCATTGTTGAATCCATGGTGTGGGCACTGACTTGTGTAGCCTTTGAACCTCTCCCAAGCCTCTGCGAATGTCTCATTGTTTCGCTGGATGAAGCTGGATATCTCTCCTCTAAGCTTGGCTGTGCGACCGGTGGAGAAAAACTTAGCAAGAAAGGCCTTCTTGCATTCATCCCAAGTGGTGATTGTGCCATGGGGCAAGCTCTTCTCCCATTGGTGAGCTTTGTCAGCTAGAGACATAGGAAAGAGTCTCAGCTTGATGGCATCTTCAGAGACACCATTGATCTTTGTCAAATCACAAAGCCTATCAAACTCATCAAGGTGGTCAATGGGGTCTTCACTTGGCAATCCATGGAACATCTTGTTCTGGACAAGGTTGATCATTCCCAGCTTGATCTCAAAGTTGTGGTTCTGCACTGGTGGTGGAACAATCCCTTGTCTCTGTTGGTGGCGGTTTGGAGCATCTCCTTGACCAATCGGTCGAGTTTGCCTAGCTCGACCGAGTCCATTCCCAAAGGGTTTCCATTCCCCTCTGGTACATCCATTGTATCAGCAACAAGCACCTCAGGTTCCTCTTGTACCCTCTGTGACCTCTGAACCCTCTTTCTACCCGTTGTAATGTCTAGCTCGACCAAGTCTTCAGTAGACCGACTCGATCGAGTTCGCATACACCTGCAAAAAGAGACAAAAACCCAGCAGTACAATAGAACAGGGGTGGTATAGCTTGATCGTCCAAGTGTGTTTGAAACTCAAATGCAACAAAAATATTCCCAAATCGGCAACGGCGCCAAATTGATGATAGGATTTTGTGTGGATTGAATGAAGATATAAGATGAGTGGAATGCAAACAGTGGTAATAAGATGAATGGTGCAAACACAAACAATCAACAATTCCTCTTAACCATCATAGTCATTGAAGTACATAAGAGGTTATCAATCCAAAATGGGAAACTTGTCACTCTATGAGAATATGAAACAACCAGAAAGTCAAGCAAGCAGTAAAGATTTGAAGTAACACTAACAACCTAAAAATGAAAATGCAGTGCAATAAAAGTAAACAAAGCAGTGAAGCAGCTCGACCAAGGACTCGAGTCGAGTGGAACAGAGCCAGCTCGATCGAGTTTAGGGTCGAGTTGAGAAAAAGCTAAAGGTGACGACTTTAACAAGATAAAGAGAAATTAGGGTTCAAGACAGGGTTTTGCAATCAAAGGAATCTACACTTAATCAATCTAGCTCTTAAAACTCCTTGTATCAAGGCTTCTCTTGATATTGGGCTTCTCAATGCCTAGCCAACCCTTTCCCAAGGTGAGGCTATCAACCAAGGAATGATCTCAGAAACAGGGGGTTAGCCAGTGAGAATCAAACCTTGGAGGCCATAGGATCATTGCCCAAACTAATCCATCCAACCCCTTAGACCTCTATTTCTAGAGCAAGAGATATTGGAGCTCTTAGTGGATCTTTTCCAGCGAATTTCCATCACTTTCGTATGGACTTACAAGCCAGGGGTAGTGGTCATGTAGCCTTAAGATCTATCCAAAAGAGAGAGAATCTAGATTAAGACCATAAGCTAGAAGGATTAAGCATATGAAACCTCTAATCTATCCCATCTCAAACCCTAATGGGTAACTACTCACTACACATGAATGTAAACACAAGCAAATGCAATAAAAGAGACATCATAAGAAAGAGGAGATGAAATTAAACAACTTTTATTGAAATAAGCAAGTGCAAATACAAAGAGATTATCCAGGATCTAGGATTCAAGAAGCAAGAGCTTCAAGAACACAAAGATGGGATTAGAGCTCTAAAAAGTAAAAGACAATAAATTAAAAGAAACTAAAACAAAAGTAATCTAAAGCTTGGTGGTTTTTTCGTGGCTTAGAGCCTTTAAATACAAGAGGATTAGGTTTAGGGTCAAAGGAAAGTCAAGGGGGAAGCAACATTTTTCGGGTTTGACTTTGACTTCTCAGCTCGATCGAGTTGAAGCTTGGCCGGTCGAGTTGAGGAACTCGACCGGTTGGTCGAGTAGACGGTCGAGCTGGTCTTCAAGATGGCTTCTCCCTTCTTCCTTTGCGTATCCAGTTGAGCTGCGTCCATGTGCCAAGTCCCTCCATGCTCCTTGTCCCATATGCTCCAGAATGCTCCAAAAGACCTATTTCAAAGGACCAAACATGCATATGTATGCAAATGCAACCTAAAACTAACATGAATGCATAAGAAGAGAAAAGGAACAAGATATGATGCAAATGGAAGCTAAAACTATGCAAAAGATGCATAAAAGATGTGCTAAAACTATGTAAAATGCAAGTACATCAGTGGCTTAGAGCCTTTAAATACAAAGAAGATTAGGTTTAGGGTCAAAGGGAAGTCAAGGGGGAAGCAACATTTTTCGGGTTTGACTGTTGACTTCTTAGCTCAATCGAGTTGAAGCTTGGCCGGTCGAGTTAAGGAACTCGACCGGATGGTCGAGTAGGTGGTTGAGCTGACTTCAAGATGACTTCCTCCTTCGTCCTTTGTGTGTGTGGCTGAGCTGCGTCCATGCACCAAGTCCTTCCTTGCTCCTCACGTCCCAAATGCTCCAAAGTGCTCCAAAAGACCTATTTCAAGGACCAAACATGCACATGTATGCAAATGCAACCTAAAACTACTATGAATGCACAAGAAGGGAAAAGGAACAAGATATGATGCTAATGGATACTAAAATTATGCAAAAGGTGCATAAAAGATGTACTACTACCATGTAAAATGCAAGTACATCAATGCCATCAAGCTGAGACTCTTCCCTATGTCTCTTGCTGACAAGGCTCACCAATGGGAGAAGAGCCTGCCCCATGGCACAATCACCACTTGGGATGAATGCAAGAAGGCCTTTCTTGCTAAGTTTTTCTCCACCGGTCGCACGCACGAGCTTCATACAGAGAAACAATGAGACTTTTGCTGAGGCTTGGGAGATTCAAGGGCTACACAAGTCAGTGCCCCCATCATGGCTTTGCTCTCTACTCTCTATAGAGGTTATTTGGCAAGGTATAGAGAGATGTTGGACACAGCCAGCAATGGAAACTTCCTTAATCAGGATGTGGATGATGGTTGGCAGCTTGTGGAAATCATTGCAAACTCCAATGGAAGTTATGGAGAAGAGTATGATCGCACAAACCGGAGCTCGACCCACAACTCGATCGAGTCCGATGAAAATTGAGAAAAGATGTAAATCGTTGAATGAGAAGTTGGACAAGCTTATCTTAGCTCAGTCCACAATGAAGAAGGTCAATTTTGTGTCTGCTGAAGAGATGGAACCTGTTCAAGAAGGGGAGGATACACAATTTGCTGAAGTATGTTACATGAGCAATGGGCAAGGAGGCTACAACAAAGGATATTACAATTACAAAGCCAACCCAGCCATGTCATTACAGAAACACTGATGTGCTAACCCAAGATCAGGTCTACCCTCAACAACAGCAAGCTCGATCGAGTCAAGCCCCTCAACGTGAATTTGGTCCAAAAACAACTATCAAGGCCCTCAAGGGACTTTTCCTGGTCAGCAAATGCACATACCACCTGGCTTTCCCCACCAACCACCCCAGCCTGCACCTACACCTGAGCATGAGCTCAAGGCTATGTTGAAACAATTGCTCCAAGGTCAAGCTGATGGTGTTGTGGACACAAGCTTGAGAATCTCAACACAAGAGTGTACTCTCTGGAGAATCATGCTTCTTCTGTTGCTGCTGCTACAAAGCAAGGACAACTACCTGGTAAAGCCATTCAGAACCCCAAGGAACAGTGCAAGGTCATCTTCACTCAAGAAGGTCTTGATGAAGAGAGGATCAAGAGAGAGTCATGGAAGAGTTTTGTTTGCTGCTGAATGACGACGAGATTGTTGTTGCTGAGATTCCTGGAGTCCAGATGATCAACCTGAAGTGCAAGCCACTACTGTAGCCTTTCACACTTCACCAGTTGAGCTCGCACAACAAGCTCGATCGGCAGCTCGATCGAGTCGAACTCTAGCTCGATCGAGTCAGACATCATCGTCCTCAAACCGATTTTGCTTGATCCTTACCAGCCAGTTGATCCATCATCAGGCCGCCTACTCAGTCAAAGCCATAAGGAAGTGATTCACAAGTTCAGAAGAGACCTCAGTGAGATTGGAGTTGAGTTGCCTTCTATGGAAAGCATGAGTGAGGCATTTGAGCAAATGAAGTTGATTCAAGATGTTATGGCTAACAAGGAAAAAGTTTCAGAGCTTCTGGAGATGTCTACTCACCAAATCAACCTGCTTACCTCACCTACTTTCTTACCAAAGGTGAAGGATCAAGGGAAATTCACTCTCCCTTGCACACTTGGGCATATTGAGCTTGACAATGCCTTGGTGGATTCTGGTGCAAGCATCAACCTATCTCCCTCACAATGGCAGAAAAGCTTGGCATTGCTGGAGCATTGCAGCGCCCTACTACTTCAATCATGTTTGGAGATGCAACTTCAAATCTCCTCTTGGTGTGTTCAAGAACTATCACTTGAAAATAGGAGAATGCATCATCCAAACTGATCTCACTGTCATGGAGATGGAAGAAGAGAAAGATCTACCTCTCTATTGGGAACCCCATTCCTTAGCACAGTTGGCGCTTCAATAGACTTTCACAAGCAAGAAGTGATTCTTCACAAGGTGAATAGTTTGGTGTCTTATCGCTTGCAGCCTAGAGGATCAGAGTTTGTGGCACCATTGAAAGCACTCCTCTCAGACCAAGAGTCCTGAAGTTGCTAAGGTTGTGAAGGAAAAGGTTGAAAAAGAGCCAAGAGTTGTGAGAATAAGGTTGAGAAGGACAAAGGAATTGATAAGGACCAAGGATTGAGAAACCACGCCTTGAGAGGCCTAGACTTGAGAGACCACGATCTGATCGGCCACGAGCTGATAGACTTGTTCAAGCACCATGTGTCCTTGATGAGGAAAGCCTCCAAGCTTTGTTTGATGAGCCACTAGGAAGCGCTCAAAAAGAAGGGGAGGATGCAGCCTCAAAGGCACTTGTGGGAGAGAAAAGAAAGAACCCACCAGCTCAGGTTTCCTCAGCCAAGCCATCTCAGCTCACTATGACCTTGTTTCCCACCAAATTTGAAAATGGAAAGATTGAGTACAAGATAAGGTACAAAGGGAGATCAAGACCATTCTCTAGAGCCAAGGCCTTGGTCACTTCAGAGCAGTCCAGGGATCCAACCAAGCTAAAGGAGCTCCTATCCCAAGTCCTCACTATCACCCTTGATGGTGGGACTAGCTCAACCAATGCCTAAGAGGTAAAGGTCAAGCTATGGGACCTTAAACAAGCTCACTTGGGAGGAAGTCCCATGACTATCCTTGTACATATTCTTTATTTCAATTTCTATCTAGTATTTTGTGTCTTTAACCTTTCAAGAAGATTAAGTTTAGGTGACAAGAAGCCAGCTCGACCGACAGCTCGATCGAGCCAGAAACAAAGGTAACTCGATCGAGTTCCACAACTCGACCAAGGTAAATTTTTGAATTTCAAATTTCTAACCGTTTCCTTGGTCAAGGGGGTGGGTCCCACATATAAATTTTGGTCCCCCACTTCCCTAAATCGATCAGAAAAACCCTAGCTTTTGTCCCCTCTTTAAACCATCTTTTAATCCTCACCACACATCTCAAACACTCCCTCTTCCCCATAACTCGATCGCACAACCCCTCTCTCTCTCCCTAATCTCTAAGAAAATCCGAAAATCCCTCTTCATCCTTGAGTTTTTTGCGATTCTTCCTTGTTTATCTCTTGAATTGCTTTAGTTTCTAGCTTTTGTCTAGAGCATCCATCATCCAAGCAAGGTTTGATTCCTAAACCCTCAAGGCTAAAGCTTTGATTCTTCTCTATCTCTTATTGCATGTTGTCCTCTTGAGTTTTGATTGCATGTGTCCTTGTGGACAGGTTCTTGATAATTGCCTTCATATTCATCTTCTGCTTATAGAATTTTGTGAACTTGTCTCACCTCACCTCTGTTTTGCCATTAAAATTGTTGCATGTGCTTGAAACCTTTGAATTTGAGTTTGGTATTGGTTAGGATGCTATATTCTTCACTAGAATTGCTTATTGTTCCAAGTTCTTGATGTTCTTAGTTCAATTTGATTGTTTAGCATCCTATCCTGCTCTTAATACTTGATTTAGATTCGGTTTGCTCTGTTTTCACCTAGCTCGATCGAGTTTGTCACTCGAGTTTTTTGACTCGATCGAGTTGGGTGTCGAGTTGACCGAATCGATCATTACAACTCTAATTCTTTGGACCTTTGATGAATTTCAGGGAATCCACTTTAAGAAATAACAAGGCTAAGATGTTGAGAGGTGAAGGAAGCCATGCAACTATGGGAAGGAAGGAAGTAACAAGAGGTGCAAGGAGAATGCTAAAGGGAATGAGCAAGGAGGATGTGGAAGAGATTGAGAGGTTAAGGGAGGAAAGAAGGACTAAGAGAAGGAATGATCCCATCAGCAGTGAGAGCGAATTGGGAGAATTCGAGATTGGGGTGAATGTTGCAAGAGAGGAGAGTGATGACTCTCAAAGTGAAGAGGGTGAAGAAGTTAATCAAGAGGTTGATGGGAGTGAGCATGAGAGCAATGAAAATGTGCCAATGGAGGAAGCTGAGCCACATGAAGAGGGGGATGAACTCCCCATGTTCCAAGAGCACTACAATGCTCTCCTCTCCATGGAATTTGTTGAAACCAAGTACCCTCATGACAAAACTATGAAGGCCCTTGGAATCTTTAATGATGTGGATTTGGTACTCAAGAACATGCACTTGGGGAGGTTCTTTTCTCATCGCATGGAATCATACAAGGAGCTCAACTTGTGAGTTTTTAGCTTCGATGAGGTACTATACATGTATGGTGAAGAGGATAGGGCCGATTTGGATCAAGGATTGGGGTGGATCACATTCTTGGCTAATAGAGTCAAGAGGATAGTCACTTTTAGGCAGTTGGAGATCTTGTTTGGCTTCAACTATAGAGAAGGGACTCAATGGAACTTTAAGGAAAGTGAGCTACAAAGAGTTTGGGCTACAATTTCTGAGGGAGAATACTCTTCCTCAAGGTCTAAGGCGGCTCAAATCAGGAGTCCAGTGCTGACGTATGTGCACAAGGCGCTTGCCAACACTTTCTTTGCAAGAAAGGTAACCGGCACCATTAATGAGGGAGAGCTCAAGCTTCTTGATATGGGAATCAAGCCCATTCTCTCATACACAAGCGATGGGAAGAGGATCAGGGGAGACAGATCAAACACTGGAAATCTCATGCCCTTCCTAGATCACCTCCTCACCTACAAGACCACGGCCTACAACACTCGATTTCAGCAAGGAAGAAAGCTAAGTGTTGGAGGTCTCATCACCCTATCTTGTGTGCTGCTGGCATGAACCCAACTGATAAGAAGGCTACTGAGCCTGGTTGGATGGACATCAAGTTTTGCAAGACCAACCTCCTCATTGATCACAAGGAGTGAATGGGAAATACCAATTCAAGTTCACACATCCCACGGCTGGCCTTCCAAGATTCTTGCCCAACCCAAGCTTCACACAGTTGTAGAAGGCAACAACATTGACTTCAGCCCCCCATTACACATGTTTGTTGGGCATGAGGATGATTTGCGAGAAGAGGAGCCTGAACTCGATCGAGCTGAGGACCAAGCCCAAGTGGATGAAGATTTGGACGAGCCTGAGTGCTATTATTTTGAGGAGTATGAAGGTCCAAGGATGAACCCCTCTGTTGTGGCTGCTCACAAGAGGATTGGACTTCTCCAAAAGTTCAACAAGTGGCAAGGGAAAGCCATAAAAATGCAAAAGTCCATGGACAAAATGGTGAGCAAGATAAGAGTTTGGAGAAGAAGGTCTCTGGTTCTTCATCCAAGAAGAAGAACACACCCATGGCCTCTCCTTTCCCTAGGAGTCGATCCCTCCTCACCACACCAAGGAGACTCCCTGCCCAAGAACCTCACAGAGCCTCATCTTTGAGCCAAGAGAAGAAGGAGCAAGCCCACAGAGAAGGAGGAAGAGTTCCAGAGCCCGACGCTCCAACTCGACCAGTGGACTCGATCGAGTCCAAACAGAGGAAACTCAACTCGGTCGAGCTGATGGTCGAGTTGACCTGGAGGAGCCAGTATTCGAGAACCCTGGATTTGAGTACGATCCAGCACCTTACCAGGACTATCCCCAGAGCAGATGGAACCCATACGGCCAGTTCGAGCGAGCCAGCTCCACCAAGGCCAAGTAGCCACACCCACTTCGAGGATGAAGAGAAGAACCGCAAGCTCGATCGAGCTGCATGAATGTGTCGAGTGGAGTGCTCCTGATGGCCGCTTGCCTCTCCAGACCACGACCTTGCCTCCCAGTTCTTTGGGGGGCACTGAGGTATCAAACACCAACCCTTGTATATACCATTCATTTTCTTGCATTTTTCTTTATTTTCTTGGTTTTTGCCTCTTGAATCCTTCAATGAATTTCTCTCACACAAGGGACTGTGTGATTTAAGTTTGGGGGAGGGTTCAAGAGATGATTTAACCTTGTTTTCTTTGTTCTTAGTTTTTCATTCATCTTTTGCATAGAAAAACCAAAAAAATCATAAAATTTTCAAAAAATCCAAAAATATTTTCATCTTTTTGCATTCATATTTGTTAGATTGTTTAGGATTGCATCATTCACTCTGTTTTAGTTGTGCATTGTTGATTTGATCTTGAAAACTTGTTCATCATTTGCGATTTCTTGAGTGCCCATTTCTAGATTCTTTTGTGCATTAGGGTGAGATTGATTGAGCAACAAGAACCATGTTTATCTTGATCATATCACTGCATGCACATCTCATTCAACCATTGCTGTGATTTGATGCATTTCCCTATCTATTTGAACCATAACTTGATCTTTAATTACCAATGCTTGCATTTGATTTCAACTCATGGCTACCACATACATATCTGGACATTCTTTACCTATTTTCATATCCCTCTTGCTTGTCCAGATAGCTGATCTCCATCTTTGAGACAGTTACCACACCTTAAACCTAAGCCTTTTTCATTTCAAACCCCATATTATCTCTTGTGCGAATTGTGAGAACCTTTCTTGGCTTTGCTTAGCATAAGGTGTTGTGTTTAAACCGGCAGGAGCAGTAGTTCTAGTTATCTAGTTCTCTTGGGATTGTTTTCAGGCTAAGTTTGGGGGTGCCAACTCGAGCTCGATCGAGTTGGGTGTCAAAACCAGAAAAGTGGTAAAAGTTGGGAAAACAAAAGGAAAAAGTTTAGTTAAGTCCAGGGAGTTGGCATTGTTTAAAAAAGGGTCTAGTAAAGGTTCTAAGTAGAAAAGAAAAGAAGGCAAAGCCTCAAGTGTTCAAAAAAAGAAAGAAGTTCCCTAAGTGTTTAGAAAAATCCCAAACCGCTAGATGTTACCTTAGAAGCCTCTCCCTGTGTTGTTCTTAAAAGAAAAGTGAGCAAAGCTCCTCTGTTTCAAAGGCGAAATGCCAAAAAGGGTAGTTAGGATTTGTTCTTTAAAAGCTCTAAGTGTTGAACTCGATCGAGTTAGGATTAGGTGGCTCGAGTTGCTGCTCTTGCATCATCTTTGGTTCTAACACTTAGCCTTCTGCCAAAGCAAAGCCACTTTCTTGAGAGATCCCTGTTACTAAACCACCATACACTCAAAAGAGACCCTCATGTCTCTTCTCTTACCCATGTTCCTAAGAGGAGATTAACTTCGTCTTGAGGTGATTTCTGCCAAAAAAACGAAAGAATTTGTGACACCCGTCACCAGGGACTCCCGAGAAACGACGGCGTATCAAGACATACGTTACAAGCTTAACCAGCTTTAACCGCGATGCCATAACCATGGTCACAAATCCAAGATGTTCTCTTAACAAAATCCACCAACTTATACTTGAATCAACACTTTTGTACCTACCTGCAAGAAAAAGGGAACGGAAAAGGGAAAACGGAGGGGGATGAGTAAATTAGATTACCCAGGAGAATGAATCTAAACCGGGCCCAACATACGAAACGCTATAAAACAAACACCCAGGCTTAGGCTAAAACAGCATCAAACAAGACGTCATCTATACAACGCCGAACTAGCACACATGCTGCATTACACAACTCATACCATGCGGTTCCACATATACAGTGTGCACATAATTCATATGGTGCATCACCACACATACAATATATGTCACGACACATACATGAATCACCACACGTAAGGTGTGTATCAACACACGCAGTGTATAATACATTATACGATATAGCTTCACAAGGACGGTGTATAACACGGCACAAATAGTGAATCACCACACGTCCGCCGTGTATACAACACAAACCATGAGTCACCTCTCATACAGTATGTAACACCACACACGTTGTATAACACAACAACCTCCTAGAGGGACTATACACTCAACACGTAATATGGTCTGTAACGGTGATGTTTCTTGTCCAGCCAAGCTCAACCACGTGTGAAGCTACCAAATACCGGCACAACACCCCGTAGTATCTTGCTCCAGTAACTCAACACCCTGGATGTATCCCCGCATCACTGCGCACATCCCCGTGGTACAAAGCGCCACATCGCTGTCCGCCTCTCTTTCAAGACGCCCGCCTCTCTTTCAAGACGCCTGGCTCGTCAAGCCACCGACGATGGATTGGGTAAGAGCAACCTTTATCTACCCCACATCCAACAAACACCAACACCAAGCAAGAGGATCCACTATGGTGCGCCACACGCCTTCCGCAATCCCTCCATCTTACTTAAGCTGCACGGTACCTTTAAACCGCCACTAACTAACACGCTTCTCACTAAGCATCCAACATATATAACATTATATATAAATACTTTTATATATATACATATACATTAATCATCACACACAACACTCAACAATGATCCTTTTAACACTCAACCGTTTTAAATACCATGTCTGATCATTAATTAATTCATATTCGATATATGTTGTTCAACACTCAACAATCAAGAGACTGATGTACTTCGGTGAAGATTCGATTGCTTGCTGCGCAAGAGACTGATGTGCACTCTCAATCCTCACGGGCGTGAGCTTACGGCGGTTGATCGGAAGCTCCGACGGTGATGGATGTGACCTCCGGTGATGCTCGGACCGATGGTGATGATTAATGGTGGCCGGCGGTACTGGTCTAGATCTCCGATGACGTCTCCGACTTTCCATGGTACGTGCTCTCTCTCTCTCGCTCTCCCTCATTCTCTTTCTTCTCCTCTCTCTTTCTTCTCTTCTTCTTCTTCCTTTCTCCCTGGTTTCTCTCGCATCTCCTTTTCCTTCTTTTCTCATTTCCTCTCTCTTCTTCTCTGGATTTCTTACGGCCACTCTCTCTCTCTCTTTCTTACTCTTGCGGCTAGGGCAAAATGAAGGGGAAGAGGCTCACGATGACACCATACACTTGGGCTCATGGGCTTTCATGCCAAAAATTAAAAATGGCCCAATTTATAAAAACCGGGATGTCACAGAATTCTTTACAACCGTATGTAAAGAGAGATTGTGAATATTTGAAGACAATATACTATCTCTGTTGATCGAAACAAATCATATTTATAGTTTTTTCTGGTTTTGAATGGACCCTATCTACCAAACAGAAACGACTATAAATGAGAAGGATACTGTAATTACCTGTCTACTAGGACTTCCTCTACTAACTGCCCAATTGTTCTCTTTATCGGACATTTTTAGATGAAGCAAAAAGTACAGTACGTGTGAAAAAGAAATAGTATGGTACTTATAAAGAAAGAGATGGTAGTCGTGGAAAACAAGGGGTCCTTTTGCAGGTGGGAAACGTGGCCAAATTATATACACATAAAGAAAGAGGAGGGAACTCTAATTTTGAATTTTATTTTAATTGTATAGGTTAGGATATTGATTGGACAAGTTTTACTCGGCTGGCAGTACATTTGTTATCGACTTCCCTTAAAAACTACCGACTAAAGTATAATGGCAAAAGAGTATTTTTTCTGGCGCGTGTAAATCAGTCTCCAATTTTCGTTCTGATATGAATAGTTTCTTTATTACTAAACCCAATATGGCTACTTGGCCAATTCACCCATTATTTTAATTATCAAAAAATATTATTTAATTATGAGAATTATTTAATAATTGAGAAATGGAGTTTTAATAATAATTAAGTTTTATAATAATTATTGTATTTGCTAGTAATTGCGTAATTGGCCCGTAGGTGATTGCCTCACTAAGTTATTAAATATTTATGCAGCTCTTTCGCAATCTGATGCAGGTAAAAGATTTGTGTGATCGCGGAATCGAGGCTGAAGAGGGGATGATAGGACTTTTTATGTGTTTTACATTGTTTTACTTGAACATGTTTAAGTTGCTAGACTTGTTTTATGTTACTTTCTTCCACAGGATTGATGTTATCTGATATTTATTTATTTAAATTATTTTAAAGACTAGTTGTTCAAAAAAAAAAAAAATTATTTTCAAGACTTTCCGCTAGAATTGTTTAGGATTTATTTAATAAAAAAAAAGTTTGATGTTTCATTTTGGTATCAGAGCCTAGGAATGTTAAGTTGATAGTTTAGTATCATCCCCTTCGGCTACATGATATTCCGCGGTGAGTTTATGTTTGTGTTTGAGTTTTGTTGTGTGGTCTAGTGTGCTCATTTTGGTTCCATGCAGTGAGATGGACGAGTAATCCAGGTTTGTTGCTTATGCTTACTCTAAAGAAGCTAAACTAAGGCAGAAGGGGTTACTCAATCAAAGTAAGCTGGTCTCTGAGGGTTTGTATGTTGAGTCAAGAGGAAGATCAGACAAGAAGGGAGGAAGTCCTAAGAACAAGGGCAGATCGAAGTTAAAACAAAGGTTTGATAAGAACAATACGGGTTGTTTTATTTGTGAATCAGAAAATCAATGGAAAAGAGAATGTCTAGAAAGAAAGAAGCCTCCTCATTCTGCAAATATTGCAGTGGAACCTAAGCAACCGTTAGTGTTAACTGTTTACACTCAAGACTCAATGAAGAAATGGGTTATGGACTCAGGTTGTTCATATCACAGTACACCAGACAAAGAGGTCTTGTTTGACTTCAAGTAGATCGATGGTGGTAGAGTTTTGATGGCTAATAAAACTTATGGAGACATCAGAGGAATTGGGAAAATCAAAATTCAGAATCCAGATGGTTCTGAGGTGATACTCAGGGATGTTAGAGAGATCAGGTTGCAGGTATGAAGGAGGTAACTTCAAGGTTCAGTTCTACAAAGGAAGGAAGAAGGCAATCTCAGGAAAATACATGGACGGGTTGTATTATCTTCAAGGTACGGTTGCTTAGAATGAAGAGAACAATTCTGGAGTTGAGAAAGAAACCAGACAGGAAAAGTCAAAGCATGTGACTTTTGGTCAGAATCTGGTTCAGGAAGCAACTCCTAATGGTTTTGAGAAAGATGATTCATCAGCTCAAGGTGGAGATTCTAAGGAAATTGAATCTAAAGAGAGCAATGAAGAATATGGGATAAAAGAGCTTCAGGTGGAGGGCCTGGAAAAAGTTTATGATATTTGGAACGGGGATCTTCAGAGATAGAGCTAAGGAAGAAGAAACTCTATCTAAGATTCATTCCGATAAAGAGAAAATAGATTTTCCAAGTAAAGCAGTACATGGACAGAAGCTTCAGGTTTGCTGCGAGTTTCCAAGCTTAAACTGAAGCAGGATTCAGCTATAGGTAACTCCACTATCGACATCACACTCTCGCATGAAGAAGAAGAAGGAAGAAGAACATGGTGATATCACCATATTTTACATGATTTTACTATATAATTACCTATGTTTTCAAACGGTTTTTGCAAGATTCTTTGCCTTTAGAGGTAGTTTTCTTGTATTTGTGGGATTTGAAGTCTTTGTAGGTGAAATAATCAAAAAGGATGCAAAAAGGAGTAAAAGAGCCCTAAATCAAGATCCATGCAAGTTTCCAAGTCAAGAAGATCATTTTATCTCCAAGTGTTAGTTCTCGCTAGCGCGCAGAACGAAGCTTCGGAAGTTTGGCCGCGCGCGGAGGAGTTCCCGACGTCCAAAAGTTACGATCTTGATATGGAAAGATAGATACTTGAGTCATGCATCACGTCGAAGTGGAATGAAGCCATTTGGATCAACTATGAGGCCTAGAACTTATTTTCTACCGAGACATGTCCGGTAAGCGAGTAAACGAAGCCCATGGAGGATTTGGAGTGTCTAATGGCCCGAGCAGCAGCGCCAAAGGCCTTGATCGAATAGAGAAGAGGCCTGGCTAATGTTTGGAGCTTTCCTTGGTACAATGTCGGCCCATACACGACGTGGAGAAGAAGGCTTTGCTCACGGGAAACTTTCCTTTTCCGGCATGAAGAAAACCCTACGCGACTTCGCCCATATATACATGTTTTTAGCCGCTGGAGACAAGAGTCAGAAAATTATCAAAGAGTGTACGTGTGAGAAGAGAGTTCAGAGGAGAGAAGCCCTAGGAGATCGTCCAAGAAGAAGGAGGCGCCGCTCAACTCTTGTTCTTTCTTTTTCATTGTTTCCATTTCTATAAACTTGAT